TCTTTAGTACCTCTAATACTCTATCTTGTAATACAGTACTTAGTGTACATCTGTCTTGATACTGAGTTCCAAGAGTTTTTCTACTCCCAGAGCCCAGCCTTGGACTGGCCCCTGCCTTCCCTTTCCCTTCCTTCCCTTTCCCTTCCTTCCCTTTCCCTTCCTTCCCTTTTCCCTTCCTTCCCTCAGCCTTCAAATGTAAGATTGTTTCCTGAAAAAATTTGTTAACTTTCTATTATGCATATATAACATTTGTATTATGATATTCATTTTGCTAGTAAACTTGTTATATAATCAAGAAAATTTGATCAATAAGTTTTGAAAATCTGCTTAGGAAGTGTTTTCAGAATATTCTTACATCAGTAGAATGTTGCTATTTCATTATGGCGAGACTAGGAGCGCTTCACTCCTGAGATTCCTAGAGAGAGGCTAGAAATGAATTTCCTTTTGGATCTAGTAATTATAATATTGAATAAATTATATAACTTCTAATTTTAGCTACTAATAAAAGGTAAAATTGCCTTGATTTGTAAATCCTAATGAAAACATGAATTTTCCAAGATGTAAGAACAAACTTGTGCAATACACGAGGGCATGGCACAAGGCTGCACCTTATGTTATTATAGCTTCATAAATCATGCTAGCACATCTTCATTACTGAGTGACATGAAGACATTGATCAGCCATACTTCACATGCAGTGCAAAAATTTAGCTCCATATTATTTTAATAACTGGTCAAGATAACTCATAAATAACTTAACATGCTAAGTAAAATATCTGTTCAACTTAAAATATGTTAACTAAATACAGTACAAATAACAATTACTGATTCAGTCATATAATAATTTGTTAATAACAAAAGGAAAGCAATATTGCTGACTCTGCTCTACTGCTGACCTAAGCAGCTACAGAGTAGAAAGCTCTACTGCTGGCCTGGACAATTGTAGAGCAGGAGGCTCTACTGCTGACCTAGACAAATGTAGAGCAGAAAGCTCACACAAGCTGCACAGTATTAATCAAGCTAAACCTTCATTGTTAACACCTGCAGGTGAGCACCATCCAGCTCACCTTAGGTAACACTATGACATTTAATATTACAAAATGTCAGCAACAAAATGTACTGACTTCCAATAATTTTGCACAACAGTTAATGAGTATCTAACAGAGATGACAATGGTAAATGTCATTTGTGTACATTTCAAAATGTACTAATAGAAGTTGGTTAGTTAAGCAAAAACAAAGTGTATTTTACCTAGAGTGAAGAGCATAGATGATGCAACATTACATCTATGTTTGGCACAACACTGCACTTTAAAGTCTTAAATAGTAATATGCATAAGAGCACCACAAGGCTAAATGTTGTAATAACACTTCATGTATGACTAGTTGTATGGGCGATAGTAAGCCGAGCTTACTAATTTTAAACTATTTCAAAAAAATAATATGTCTAAGTGACTGCACTTAGAAGATATTGCTGAGGTTACAACCTAAAGAGCTGCTGTTAAGACAGAATCATGACTAGAAGAGCAGAATACATTAGAATAAGACAGCTGAAGGCAGGCAAAGAATCATTACATAAATATATCCACCGAGATTTAAATGCCAAATAATAAGCAATGTCAGAGTTTAGGTTAGTTGCTCATTATTAAGTTAAGATGATCTAGTAGAAAGAAGAATTTATGTCATATAAAATGTTTGTCTTGTAAGGTATAATCTGAAATTTGTGTATTTACGTGGTGAAGTTTGCATCGTGAAGATGAAGAGTGACATGTTGATAATGTTACCACAACCGCTGAGTTTGTTCTGAATGTAACAGTATTGAACACAACAGTATATTGAGTTAGTTCTGAGAGTAGCAGTACTGAGCACAACAGTATACTGAGTTTGTTCTGAGTGTGACAGTACTGAGCATAACAGTATTTTAGTTAGTTCTGAGTGTGACAGTACTGAGCACAACAGTATACTGAGCTAGTTCTGAGTGTGACAATAGTGAGTGCATGTCATGAAGGCACTCATCAATACATGGAGTTTTGCACAACCACACATGCCAGAGCACATGCATCAGTCACTGGCACAACCACACATGCCAGAGCACATGCATCAGTCACTGGCACAACCACACATGCCAGAGCACATGCATCAGTCACTGGCACAACCACACATGCCAGAGCACATGCATCAGTCACTGGCACAACCACACATGCCAGAGCACATGCATCAGTCACTGGATTCATTACAATTCTTCAACTTTCATTACTGAGTCATAAACTATTATGGTGTACAAAGAGTAAACATTGCATTAAATGTCTCGGCCACCATGTGTTTGGCTGTTTTGTTTTTAGGTTTCACAACTCCACCACTAATAGCTAGTGGTAATGACTCCTTGACTGCCACTTTTCTTTGCTTCTTTGCTTTGCTCTGTCTGCGAAAGAAGGTGTATGTATGAGAAAGCGTTGGTGCACTTGTTCTCTCACTTAAAGCTGTAACATTGTTTCCTTCCAGGATCCTAGATCCTTCAACATTATTTATGTTTGCTTTGCTATGATGCCGATTATCACTGTAAACCTTGAACTGGTTTGGGTTATATTCATCCATATCAGAGGCATTATCTGTGCAATAATCTGTTGCAGACGGGTCTTCATCACCGTCATCCTGACTAAATGAAGCACAGGATTCTGAACTTACAAGAGGAGCAGAGTACATTCCTAAAGTTAACTTTCGTTCTAGAGTTTCCAGGTCAGTATCTGTATCAGTAGTGGAGGGAACCAAGTCTCTTTCCAACCTCTGATGCAGAGGCTTGGGAGACACTTCAAAGTGAGTGAAAAGTGTGTCACTAAGCAAGGTGATCTCTGGGGTACTTTTCTTACTTTTCAGAAACTCCTGTTTAGTAGTGGCAGTTTTTAAAGGTATGGTTTTTCGAAGTGATTTACTTCTGACTGCAAGCATTCGTTCTCTAGGAGAAGCTGGAGAGTAGTGGTTTGGGATAGTTTCATGATGACTGTGAGTGACTTGGCTTACCACAGGCTCAGAGAATTTGACATGATTACCAGACTTAGTATGTGGTGGTGATCCTTGGTTGCTGCTTCCTGCTGCTGAACTGTTCTTGGAGATAAGATTGCTTTTAGGATAATTTTTTTCTTTTCCATTAACTTTCTTAACAGTTGTAGGAGTATAGGTATTTTTCGAAATGGAGACTGGCATGGCACTATTGTTGCTTCTAACAACAGCAGGATATTTATATCCAGAGGAATTATGCACTCTAAGATCTTCTGAAGCTTCTACCACTGGTTTACTCTCTTTGTCAACACTGCTGGCAAGAGATGAGCCTCCTCCTGCCTTAGGTAACATCACTTGTGTTTTATCACTTTTGACCTCTGTAGAAGACTTATTATTTGACATCTGAGAAATACTGACATTCTCGCTTTTTACCATCAATTCTCTCTTTTCAGCAGGAAAATGTAACACAGTATTATCAAAAATCTTTTCACTATCCTTATTTCGTCCAACTTTACTTGAATTATTCTCTGATAATTGAGGTACATCAGTACTAGGCAGCCTCTTCGAGCTTTCCTCGGATACTACTCTATTCCTTGAAGTTGGTGGTACATAGGAATCAGAGGAAACTGCACTACTTACTAAAATATTCTTATTACTTCCCGACTCTAAACTATATTTATTCAATTCTTGGTAAGACCTACTCTCTTTTTCTGGACTATTAGCCCTACTTACAAGACTATTTTGTGTAACTGGAATCTCTCTGATATTTGTGGCAGTCTCATTATGTAAAGATGAATTTTTACAAGATCTGTTACGAGTGGCATTAATGCTATTAGGCAAGCGTGGAGAGTTGTGAGGAGTAGGGGATTCAGGCGGGAGTGAAGACCGAGGAAAACCTGAACTTGTCCTACGACCTTGTGGAGAAGATACTGGCAAGGGGTTCAGAGATGAGTAAGTGGGAGATGTCAAGGAGTTTGATGATGTATGAGGGGAACACTGAGGCTCTCCCCCCAGTGCTGGTTTAGATAATAAAGATTTATTTGATTGAGTATAAACAAGAGAGAGGTCTACCACTGTTGATGGAAGATATATAGAAGGTAGAGGAAACACTGACGAGGAGGAACTTAAATGTGGTGATAAAGCTTGAGAGACAGGTAACTGTCGCAGTGAAGATATAGAGCTGGGTGAGGTCCTTTGGGAATACTTGTAAGGAGAGCTTAATGAACACACAGTATGGGGACGTGGAGGGGGTAATGGAGATACACAACTAGCTTTTCCTATTTCTTTGCTACTGCCATCACCATTCTCATCTCCTTGGGAGACATGAGGAGAACAACAGTTGAGACAAGAAGTGTGTGCTGGGTGGGAGTGATGCATCACTGATGGAGATGACACTCGATGACCACCTAACGCTGGCAGAATGTCTGTCATGTGATGGGTTGTACATTCTTCAACTATGGAAGGAATAACAGGACTCAAGCAGCGGAACACTCCAGACATCCCTGATTCTAAGGTGTTTGAGTAAATTCCTGAGATACCAGAATCCATTGTGCCAGAATAATCTGGTGAATGAGCACTGGTACAGCCTGTATCTTCACAGCCTTCACAGCTGCTGGGTGAAGTGCGACAACAACCACTATCTTCATTTGTTGGTGATGGTGACATTTTAAACTCATGAATGTGGTGAATAACAATTGGGCTCTCTTTACTTGTCTGTGTGGCAAAGGAAGAGGAAGCAACAGACAGAGGAGGAAGAGATCTAGGTTGTTGCAAAGGTAAAGTTGAAGTCAAGAAATTAGTTGGCAGCAGTCCTTTAGGTTGACGCAAAATTAGCAAGTCAGATTCACTTGCCCATTTCAAATTTCTCTTAAATAATTTCATCTTCCTATTGGGATCAACACTTAAATACGCATCTAAGAAGGAGTAATTAGTGAAAGCTGGAGGGGTGATACACTCTTCACTGAGCTTGTATTTTGAGTAACCTAAGTCTCCTTTCGAATCCCACCTGTTCTCCTGAGTCAAGGAATTCTGGCGCTCCTGTAAGTCTGATACCAGAGTTTGAAGAACAGGCAATTGTTCACGGCTGCCACCCTCAGCTGCTCTCTGCTTCAACATGCTATTTTCATGCTGCAGTCGCATCAGCTTCTCTCTGGAAACATGCACAGGTATTGTAGATGTTAATATCCCTGTGTTCAATGCTTCTCAAGAATGAAAAGGTAAAATAATCTTATAAAATTACTGAAGATAACAGAATGTGAATAGATGTAGTACAGATGATAAGAAAGAAATGATTTTGAATGTTATGAATAAAAAGAAGTTGGATGTCTAGGCTCTAAGCAAAACAATGCTGAAGGGAGTAGGGGAGTTTCAGCAGGAAAAGTTAATGGGATTAAGTCAGGTGTATCTGAGTCAGAGCTAAGGAAGGAGTAGCAGTAGTGCTGAATGATTAGTTACAGAAAAAAAAGGAATATAAATGTATAAATTCAAGGACTATGTGGATTAAAATAAGTCTTAGATACTTTCTTTCGTGCTTAACAATATATTATTACATGTAAACAACAATTTTTTTTTTCCATCTCATAAACATGCAAGATTTCAGGTATGTCTTGCTACTTCTACTTACACTTAGGCCACACTACTCATGCATGTACAACCCTCTGAGAGTAAGAGGTAGAAGGGGGACAGAGTATGACATCAGTGAATATGTGAGAAGTGAAAGTTAATACAGTAAAGAAAGAGACAGTTAGTGCATGTACTTGTAGTAAATATAGATCTTATTATTTTATTATAACTGTTGGGAGAAAGATGTGCTGGAGAGAGAGAGAGTATAGGTAATGAAGAGGAGGTCATAGAGGTATGGAGTAGTTTTAAGAGTACAGTTAGTGTGTGCAGCAGAAGTTTGTGGAGTTAGGAGGGTGGATGTGGGAGGGAAGAGGACCGACTGGTGGAACAATGAGGTAAAGGAGGGGTAAGTGAGAAAAAAGTTAGTATATGAGAGGCTTTTACAAGGTAGAAGTGATATACAGAGGGTGGAATACATGGAGAGTAAGAAAGAGATTGAGAGAAGGGTAGGGAATGTGTGGACCAAGTGTTTACACTGAAACATGTAAGTGAACAATATTTAGATGATGGTAAGAATGTTTTCATTGTATTTATGAATTTAGAAAGGGCTCTGGTGGCCTGGTGGTTAACGCTCTCGCTTCACACGGTGAGGGCCTGGGTTCGATTCCCAGCCAGAGTAGAAACATTGGACGTGTTTCTTTCCACCTGTTGTCTATGTTCCCCATCAGTAAAATGGGTACCTGGGTGTTAGTCGACTGGTGTGGGTCGCATCCTGGGACACTGACCTAAGGAGGCCTGGTCACAGACCGGGCCGCGGGGGCGTTGACCCCCGGAACTCTCTCCAGATAAACTCCAGATATGTTAGGGTGGGTAGGCAAATGTTTCAAGTACATGGAACAGATGGTAGGTTTGTGACAGCAGTTAAGAGTTTTTACGAGGACAGTGAGGGTTAGGGTATGTAGAAGAGATGTCACCATGGTTGTTTAACAAATTTATAAACAAAGTTGTAAAAGAAATGAATGCTCGGGTGTTAGAGAGAGATGTGGGATTAAGAGATAAAGAATTTAATACACAGTGGGAGTTGTTGCAGTTGCTTTTTGCCAATGACACAATGCTTTTATGAGATTCTGATGAGAAGTTACCAAGGTTGGTGGGGATGTAAAAGGAAATCAAAAGTGAACAGAGGAAAGAGCAGGGCGGTGAGAATAAAAAAAAAATAAATAAATAAAAGAAAAGAAATAGGTATCGAACGACTGGATATCAGATTGGAGGTAGGGGATATGGAGGCAGTGTGTGTGTTCAGATATTTGGGAGTAGACTTGTCAGCAGATGGGTCTATGAAAGATGAGGTGAACCATAAAATTGACAAGGGAGAAAAAAGTGTTTGGTGCATTGAAGCACCTGTGGAAACGAGGAAAATGTATCAGAGTATAGTCATACCAACACTCTTATATGGGTGTGAAGCTTGGGTTGTGAATGTTGTAGCAAGGAGGCTGGAGGCATTGGCGATGTAATGTCTGAGGGCAATGTGTGGTGTGAATATCTCTAAGTGAATATCTCTGGGCTGAGGTGGTCTGGTCACTTAAGAGAGGTGGAGTAAAATAAGATGACTTGGAGAGTGTAAATCTGTAGTGGAGGGATGGTGGGGTAGGGGTCACCCTCGGAAAGGTGGGAGGCGAAGTGGGAGTAAAGGTTTTGTATGCATATGTAAAAGTTACACAGGAGTGAATGGAGGCAAACAGTTTTCATGACTTGATGTACTGTTAGTGTGTGAGCAAGGTAACATTTATGAAGGAATTCAAGGAAACCAGTTAGCCAGACTTGAGTCCTGGAGGTGGGAAATACAGTGCCAGTACTCTGAAAGAAGGGTGGGAATACTGCAGTTTGGAGGAGCATCTGTGCTGCAGTGTCAGCATGTCTCTGGTAAGACAGTGATGGAGTGAGTGATGGTTAAAGTGTTTCTTTTAATCGGTTCACATTGCCTTATAAGGAGATGGCCAGTGTGTTAAAAAAAAAATGACATTCTCTGACCTCCTGTAATATGACAGAAGACAAAGAAAATTTTATGAAATTGGATTATGTGGCATCAAGGACACACAAGGTCTATTATGTTGCATCAAGGACACAAGGACAACTATGTAGCATCAGAGACTATTTTGCAACAAGGACAATTATGTTACATCAAGGACAATTATATTGCATCAAGGACATTTACGTTGCATCAAGGACAATTATTTTGCATCAAGGAAATTTATGTTGCATCAAGGACATTTATGTTGCATCAAGGACATTTATGTTGCATCAAGGACAATTATGTTGCATCACAGACAATTATGCTACATCAAGGACATTTATGTTGCATCAAGGATAATTATGTTGCATCAAGGATAATTATGTTGCATCAAGGATAATTATGTTGCATCAAGGACAATTATTCTGCATCAAGGACAATTATTCTGCATCAAGGACAATTATTCTGCAACAAGGACAATACAGTAAACTAACAAAACCATCCATAAATATGCATTTATTCTTATGTAGTAATGTAGTATGCATGTACACACACATTCTTCAGTTCTAGTCTTACAAACACACATTCTTCAGTATTAAGTTCTAGTCTTACAAACACACATTCTTCAGCATTAAGTTCTAGTCTTACAAACACACATTCTTCAGCATTAAGTTCTAGTCTTACAAACACACATTCTTCAGTATTAGGTTCTAGTCTTACAAACACACATTCTTCAGTATTAGGTTCTAGTCTTACAAACACACATTCTTCAGCATTAAGTTCTAGTCTTACAAACACACATTCTTCAGCATTAAGTTCTAGTCTTACAAACACACAATTCTTCAGTATTAAGTTCTAGTCTTACAAACACACATTCTTCAGCATTAAGTTCTAGTCTTACAAACACACATTCTTCAGCATTAAGTTCTAGTCTTACAAACACACATTCTTCAGCATTAAGTTCTAGTCTTACAAACACACATTCTTCAGCATTAAGTTCTAGTCTTACAAACACACATTCTTCAGCATTAAGTTCTAGTCTTACAAACACACATTCTTCAGTATTAGGTTCTAGTCTTACAAACACACATTCTTCAGTATTAGGTTCTAGTCTTACAAACACACATTCTTCAGCATTAAGTTCTAGTCTTACAAACACACATTCTTCAGCATTAAGTTCTAGTCTTACAAACACACATTCTTCAGTATTAAGTTCTAGTCTTACAAACACACATTCTTCAGCATTAAGTTCTAGTCTTACAAACACACATTCTTCAGCATTAAGTTCTAGTCTTACAAACACACATTCTTCAGCATTAAGTTCTAGTCTTACAAACACACATTCTTCAGTATTAAGTTCTAGTCTTACAAACACACATTCTTCAGCATTAAGTTCTAGTCTTACAAACACACATTCTTCAGCATTAAGTTCTAGTCTTACAAACACACATTCTTCAGCATTAAGTTCTAGTCTTACAAACACACATTCTTCAGCATTAAGTTCTAGTCTTACAAACACACATTCTTCAGCATTAAGTTCTAGTCTTACAAACACACATTCTTCAGCATTAAGTTCTAGTCTTACAAACACACATTCTTCAGCATTAAGTTCTAGTCTTACAAACACACATTCTTCAGCATTAAGTTCTAGTCTTATAAACACACATTCTTCAGCATTAAGTTCTAGTCTTACAAACACACATTCTTCAGCATTAAGTTCTAGTCTTACAAACACACATTCTTCAGCATTAAGTTCTAGTCTTAAAACACACATTCTTCAGCATTAAGTTCTAGTCTTACAAACACACATTCTTCAGCATTAAGTTCTAGTCTTACAAACACACATTCTTCAGCATTAAGTTCTAGTCTTACAAACACACATTCTTCAGCATTAAGTTCTAGTCTTACAAACACACATTCTTCAGCATTAAGTTCTAGTCTTACAAACACACATTCTTCAGCATTAAGTTCTAGTCTTACAAACACACATTCTTCAGCATTAAGTTCTAGTCTTACAAACACACATTCTTCAGCATTAAGTTCTAGTCTTACAAACACACATTCTTCAGTATTAAGTTCTAGTCTTACAAACACACATTCTTCAGCATTAAGTTCTAGTCTTACAAACACACATTCTTCAGTATTAAGTTCTAGTCTTACAAACACACATTCTTCAGCATTAAGTTCTAGTCTTACAAACACACATTCTTCAGTGTTAAGTTCTAGTCTTACAAACACACATTCTTCAGCATTAAGTTCTAGTCTTACAAACACACATTCTTCAGTATTAAGTTCTAGTCTTACAAACACACATTCTTCAGTATTAGGTTCTAGTCTTACAAACACACATTCTTCAGTATTAGGTTCTAGTCTTACAAACACACATTCTTCAGTATTAGGTTCTAGTCTTACAAACACACATTCTTCAGTATTAGGTTCTAGTCTTACAAACACACATTCTTCAGTATTAGGTTCTAGTCTTACACACATTCTTCAGTATTAGGTTCTAGTCTTACAAATACACATTCTTCAGCATTAGGTTCTAGTCTTACAAACACACATTCTTCAGCATTAGG